AGGGAGCCTGATGTGGGGCTCGATCCCAGGACCCTGGGATCACGACCTGAGCCGAAGGCAGACGCTTAACGACTGAGCCACCCAGGCGCCCCAATGATGAGGCAATTTATAATTTTCTTTTTTGGTGGATCAGTTGTTTGATTCTCTTTGGTCATTTATTTTTCTTGCATAGTCATTTCTGATAATGATGTCTTTTCCATTTTTGTTAATGAGGCCATTTTAAAAACCTTAACTGTCGTTGTACCCATGTATCTGTTTCATATTAACATTGATTTCTCTGCAGGCCCGGGTCCTTTTTGTGATAATTGTGCTGATCCAGCTCACCATTCTCATTACTTTTAGGCACCGAGGATATCCAGAGCATAAAGGTTAGTCATGGTTCCTTTTATTCTCAGAAGACTTCATTCTTAAGTGTCATATAATGTCCTATTGCCAAGTGATAAAAATATAAATTATCTTTCCTGAGCTTTGTGAGGTGCATTCTTCAAACTTACTATATACTTTGTCCACAGTACTTGAGCTTTTAAAAAAAATCAGTTTTTTTGCTGCTACATTGCAATAATATGAAACTCAACCTGAAAATGGGGGAAAAATCACAATATAGCTCAAAATGACCAAACGTCTCTGCCAGATATTAAGGATCCTCCACAGTTGGGTCTTACCTAATTAGCCGCATCTTCAACCATTTACCTATATTTCAGCCTAGATAATTTTCCACTGTTCCCTACACACACCATACTCATTTCTGCTTCTGTGCTTTTGCCTAGGCTATTATCTCTAAGTTATTTTTCTAAACTTATCTATATTTTAGCCTCCTTTAGGGCTCACCTCAAACCCTCTTTTTCCATACCATTTTCTCCACCCCTTCCAGGTCATAATGAGCTCTTGCTTCTCTGAATCCCTATAGTCCTTCCTGATAATTAATGCTATAATTGGCCAGTCAGTCACCTTGCTTTACGTAAGCACCCCAAATGTATATATACATTTTCTCCTCAACCAGACTGTAAGTTCTTCAGTATAGGAGCTCTTGTTTTCTGCTTCTTTTCTGTTCCTCACAGCACCCAGCACTGTGTGCGTAACAGACAATAAATACTTGTTGAATTAAATTTTCCTTACCCCTTCGGGGCTTGGATGAAATCCCTGAGATCAGGGACTGATTGTAGGGGAGGGGAGTACTGCAGCAATGACTCAACAGTAAAATGGCTAACTACAGAGGGAGTGTACACATCCTACTGAATGTTTTCCTGCATATATATATTTTCACAAATTCTATGAAGAAGTTCAAGAAGCATTATTGCACACATATATGTTCCTGCATATAATGTAAATAAATAAATGTTTAAGGGAGGGTCCCAGCCTCATTCTGTGGGGATACCAATATCTTTGTGTAGTTATTTAAAATTTACAACATATTTTTACCTGCATTATCTCACTTAATCCTTACAGCAATCCTGTGAAATAGGTATTATTGTCCCCGTTTTAAAGATTAGGACACTAAGGACTGGGGAGGTTGTGAAGGTTGTTCAAAGTCTCATCGCTAATAAGAGATAAAGGAGAGACTTGAAACCTATGTCTTCTGACCCCAGGTCAGTTCTTTTCTTTAAACACTTCTCAACTTCGATTGCACCTTAGACTCCCCTGGGAAACTTTTAAAATCTCGGTGTCTACACAGCACCCTAGACCAATCACATCAGAATCAATAGGGGTAGGACCTAAGCATCAGTATTTTATAAAGCTCCCCAGATGATTCCAATGGGCAGTCAAGGCTGAGGCGTTCAGCTCTGACTAAAGCAGTATTTCTCAGTCCTGGCTGCTTAGAATCACCTGGGTTGCAGCCTAAGCTTCCACTCTCCCTCAGGTCAATTAAATCTGAATCTCTGGGGGCGCCTGGGTGGCTCAGTCATTAAGCGTCTGCCTTCAGCTCAGGTCGTGATCCCAGGGTCCTGGGATCAAGCCCCGCATTGGGCTCTCTGCTCGACGGGAAGCCTGCTTCACCCTCTTCCATTCCCCCCTGCTTGTGTTCCCTCTCTCGCTGTCTCTCTGTCAAAATAAATAAATAAAATCTTAAAAAAAAAAAAAATCTGAATCTCTGGTGAGTGAGACCTGGGCATGAATATTGTCTCAGAGTTCCCCCAGGTTATTCTAATGTGGAGCCAAAATAGAAAATCATGTTTAAAGTTTATGCTGAAAGTTTAAAGCATAGCTGCCTCCAAGGCTAAAGGATTATTTATTTTTCATAAATAATAATTATTGGGGTGTCTGGGGGCCTCAGTTGGTTAAGCATCTGCCTTCAGCTGAGGTCATGATACCAGGGTCCTGGGATTGAGCCCTATGTCAGGCTTCCCTGCTCACTGGGGAGTCTGCTTCTACCTCTGCCCCTCCCTCCACTCATGCTCCCGCGCAACTCTCTCTATATCTCAAATAAATAAAATCTTTAAAAAGAAATAATTATTATAGATGGATATATAGATGAATACTTTGAGAAGTACCAGACTAGAACAAGAAAGAATCTAAGAGAAGAATGAGTAGCAAGAATGTAACGGAGTGGGGAAGGTCATGCATTATCAGGTTTTGTACAAAATCAACAGTCAGGCTGAACAGTGTTTTAAGTACAAAATGGATATGTTGGCCTATTAGGAGAGACATACTATTTAACTTATATCAGGCTGTCTTTGACCTCTAGGGGCGCTCAGTGTGTACCGAGCTTCGTGTCGTAGTCTTCTGCTGACTGGTTTATGACCAGCCACACACACGAGTGAAATGGCGGCTGAGATTGAGGATCTGTGATACTTTAGTCTGTGGCCACAGAATGGAGCTTCTCTGTGTGAAGCCCATATGCTTGGCATTTTGGCACTATATTTTAAGAGATCTTAATTTGAAGAGCTTTAGGGATCCCTTTCAATTGGAGTAAGAGGATGGCTGTGAGTTAAGAGCTATGTCACATATGGGAAAGGAATATTGGACAGTCATACTTAAGATTAGACTGGAGAAATTTTGATATTTCTTTGATATATTTTGATACATGATTTGGAAGTGTGTACATTTGGATACTAAATCCCATAGAAAACAGAGACTTTGAGCATAGCACTATATTTCAAACCTACATCATTTAATCATTTAAAAGTGTGTATGTGTGCATGTATGCACATGCGTGTCTCCCAACTAACCATTGCTTTGAACTTCCTACCCTCTGCAATTCTTTTTTTTTTAAAGATTTTTTAAATTTATTTGACAGAGAGACAGTGAGAGACGGAACACAAGCAGGGGGAGTGGGAGAGAGAGAAGCAGGCTCCCCGCGGAGCAGGGAGCCTGATGCGGAGCTCGATCCCAGGACCCTGGGATCATGACCTGAGCCGAAGGCAGAAGCTTAACAACTGAGCCACCCAGGCGCACCCCCCCCCCCGCAATTCTAAGTGGACTGGCTTATCAGGCTTCCTGTCAACTTCTGAATTTAAAGTGGTGTCATCTGTATGTTTACTATATAACGAAAGATAGCCCATGGAAGTCTAGAAAATGTTATAAAGAATTTGAACTTTGTCAGTCATAGAAAGACAAATATATGATTTCATTCATGTAGAATTTAAGAAACAACAGATGAACATAAGGGAAGGACAGGAAAAATAAAGTAAGATGAAATCAGAGAGGGAGACAAACTGTAAGAGACTCTTAACTCTAGGAAGCAAACAGGGTTGCTGGAGGGGAGTTGGGTGGGAGGATGGGGTAACTGGGTGATGGGCATTAAGGAGGGCACTTGATGTAATGAGCACTGGGTGTTGTATGCAACTGATGGATCACTAAACTCTACCTCTGAAACTAATAAAAAAAAAAGAAATTGAACTTTGCATGTGCTCACTGGATTTTTGAAATTTATTCTGTTTAGGGTCTCCAGGATTTATAAATTTGACCTCATTTTCCCTCCACGTCCTGAGCAAACTAAACATCTTCTATTATTCTGTGTTGTTGCTAACCCTATATACAGCACTGGGTAAGTCAATTAGAAAACCTGAATTGTGGAGAATTCTGCCAAAGAATATATGGAGAATTTTGACAATAGAGTCATTTAGACTCTTGAGAGCATAATGAACAGCACATGGCTTCTTCATAAATCATTTCCTGGAACATGGTTTTAGGAAATAAAGTTCTTTCCTAACATGTTCAAAGGACATTTAGTTGACACTGAGTTAACTTAAGCTGAGAGGACCATTAAAGAATTAGTATGTGTATGCAGAGCAGCCTTCTTTGACTACCTTAAAATTTTATCCTTTATTTCATCACACTTTTTATTTCCTTCATTACTTTATCAGAATCTATGATTATCTTCTGTGTTTATCATCTCTTCCTTCATTAGAATATCCATTGAGGTCTTGTCTGTCTTGTTTACCTCTATGCCCAGCACTAAGCACAATGTCTAGTATGTAGTTCAGTGAATATTTACTTATGGATGCCCCTTAAAAACTCAGCTCAAAAAAGAGAAACTGAGATGAGCAGTGAGTTCAGGCATATCCAGGTTCTTCTGTTATATTATTATACCTAATACTTAGTCACTTAGCCACTTATGGAAGCAGGAAGCACTGTGATTCTGTTTTTAAAGCTTTTTACTAATGTTCCTTAGTGACTAAAAGTTAGGAATAGATTAGCCTACTTGTTGCTTGGTCTTTGTCTTATACTTTTATTCCACTTCCGGATTTTTCTTTGCTCATTAGTAACTCCAACCAGAGAACAGAGAGTAGTTAGATAAAAAAAAATACAACACTCTACAATTCTGTGTACCAGGCTATGGCAGATGGCCCTTTGGAGGTCAGTTTCCTTGTTAGAAGATAGGTTGAAGCTATTTTAGACACTTGCCTACACTAGAAGGGAAAGCACATGATTTGGTTCCTGGCTGGAAAAGAAAACATTAAAAGGACAGAAGTTGCTCCATGTTTAAAAGTTGAAACTTGCAGGGAAAACACTTTTTTAGACTGTGCGTCCACAGTCTAAAATTACCTATGATTTTTTAAAGCTGAACCCCCTTCTTACCAGCAGATGATGGTATTTGCATTTTGAGAAAGAAAGTCTTTTTTTTTTTTTTAAAGATTTTATTTATTTATTTGACAGAGAGAGAGACAGCAAGAGAGGGAACACAAGCAAGGGGAGTGTGAGAAGGAAAAGCAGGCTTCCCGCGGAGCAGGTAGCCCGATGCGGGACTTGATCCCAGGACCCTGGGATTATGACCTGAGCCGAAGGCAGACGCTTAACGACTGAGCCACCCAGGCGCCCCAAGAAAGAAAGTCTTGACTGTTCATTAATCACCCTTGACAATATAGTAGTTCCAGAAACCTGCACACTAGGAAGGGCAGTAAATAATAGGGAGGAGAGAAGAGTCATTCTGGCATTCTAAATGAAAAATTAAAGAAGTTAAATTTTGTACATGTTAACCTCAAGTGTATAGTTGATGTACAAAGTAATGACTTGGGTCAGCAAGAAAAGGTCAGAATACATTCATTAATAAGAAAGAGAAGAAGTGCATTTTAGAAAGATGAAAGTGGTTGAAGTTTTATTGCTTAAAGGAGTATATATCAGTTATCTGGAAAATTAACTTCCATAGAATACCTCTTTGCTTTTTAAAGGAAATGTTAATGCATTATTTTGAGATTATTATTGCAACAGAATCTTCTAAAGTTTCTGAACATACTCTGACCTGTTTCTTGAATCTATTCAGGTATAGCATGTACTCAGATGATTTTATAATCAGACAAAAGTGGAGAGCAAAGGAGCAAGTGGTTGGTTAGCTAGGACGTATGGTGCAACATAGAGATTAATAAAGAAGAAGAATTATGCCAATAAAATGCTTATCAGCAACTACTCTCATACTTCTTTGTTATTCCTATAAATGCACCTTGTGATGTATATAATCAGAATCATAGTCATTTAATCTTCTCCTTCTGTGCCCATTGCCTCTTTCAGGACCATGGTTTGTTGGTGAGATCACTAAAGGCAAACTGGGTTGCTGCTTTTCCTTTGGGATGTTTGTTGATGGACATTTCCTACAAGGCAGCCTAACATTTGTAGTTGGAATTCTGCAGGTAAGAAGTCAGAAATGGAATGTAAGAATGCCTTGGCCTTTTGGACTACTGCATAATAGTTATGAATTAAATCCAGAGCCTCCAACTAAACACCACAGATCATATTTCCTAATTTACTGGCAGGGCAATCTTGAATATTTGGTGTTTTGTTTGTTTTTCAAGTGCTTCCTAAGCTCTTTCTTCCACCACTCTCTCGTAAACATCTAAAATACATTTTGGCAGGAAGGGTTTATAAAAAGTGAAAGAGATTTTTGTTTTTGTAGTTTGTTTTACTGTGCTTTCCCATTGATAAAAAATGAAATAAGGGACTTATAGTAGAATAAATAAGTAAACCAAAATTGATTATGATAATGAAGAAGGCAAATGTTTCGGAGGGAGTAAAGGAAAAACAGACTTACAAGAAAAATGGGTCAGTTGTCCAGTGGAAGCTGCACTGGGCAAGCACCAGACCTGGGCCTTTCAGTGATGTCTTAGCTGCTGCTTGTTTGAAAACACTGATAGATTACGTTTACACGTGGATTGAGATTCCTTTAAAAGAAACACACAGGGGCACCTGGGTGGCTCAGTCAGTTAAGTGTCTGCCTTCAGCTCAGGTCATGATCTCAGGGTCCTGGGCTCCGGCCCCACATCAGGCTCCCTGCTCACTGGGGAGTTTGCTTTTCCCTCTCCCTCTGCCCCTGCTCGTGCTCTCTCCCCCTCTCTCTCAAATAAATAAAATCTTTAAAAAAAAAAAAAAAGAAACACACAAAAAACGGACTAATAGCAAATCTCTGTATATAGGTTTGAAAAGTATTTACCTATTTATGTATTTTATTCACCTAATGGGGCTAAGGTACTAAAATCTCAGGTGATGATCTCATGTTTGGGAAGAGATCCAAAAATATTGTTCAGAATGAGTTCACAACCTCATAACAGGACAGTAAAAGGTGATCAGCAAAACAGGGAAGACTTCTGCCTAGGAAACATTGACCACAGACAGAACATTCTCTGTATAGCAGCATTTTATATGTGAGTAGGTCCTGAGTCTGGTTCAGTTTTCCATTATGTAGATGAAGGCTGTCTCTCAGGAGCACTCTGATACCAAATAAAACCTGAGCCTTACTAAAAGGTGGGGATTATATTCATATTTTAATAAGTAATACACCACTGGGATGCCTGGGTGGCTCAGATGGTTAAGCGACTGCCTTCGGCTCAGGTCATGATCCTGGAGTCCCGGGATCGAAGTCCCGCATCGGGCTCCCTGCTCGGCGGGGAGTCTGCTTCTCCCTCTGACCCTCCCCCCTCTCATGCTCTCTCTCTCTCATTCTCTCTCTCAAATAAATAAATAAAATCTTTAAAAAAAAAAAAAAGTAATACACCACTAGTGGATTTTATGTATCATATAGGCCCATGGCTCCCAAATATGTTAATCTCTGCCCTCGACTTCTTTGCACTTCAAGTGCCTATATACCCATCTGCCATTTCATATCTTCCCTTAGATATCGAACAGGCATCTCAATATTATGTGTCTAATAGGACCTTTAGTTTCTACCTCAAACCTGTTCCTCCCCCAGTTCTTTCCAATTTCAGTAAGTTTTTCTAGGATGTATCTTTAATTTTTCCCTTTCCCTCTAATACCCTGTATCTAATTCATTAGCAAGTAATACCTTGTTTGATCTCCCTCCAATGCATATCTTGAATCCACCACTTCTCTTCATCTCTGTTACCACCACGCTAGTCTAACTCATAATTATTTCTTGTCTGGGCTACTGCAGGAACCCCAGATTGGTCTTCCCACTGCTACTCTTCCTACTCTCAGTTTACCATAGAGCATCCACTGTTGTCCTTTTAAAACCTTAATCAGCTCACTCTTCAGCTTAAAACCCTTTAAGCAGAGCAGTGACATGATCTGGGTCCTGCTGATTGCCTCAGTTTCCACCTGGCTCATCATGTTCTAGGCTAATGGGCCTTAAATAGGCCAAAGCCTCTCCCACCTCAGGGATTTTTACTTGTTTCCTCTCCCCGGAATGTACTTCCTTCCACTGAGTCATTCCTGTTCTTCAGGCCTCAGAACCCATCTGTCAGTTACTTACTCTCATGTGACCCAGTTATCTCCTTCATTGACTGCCTCAGTTTCCACCTGGCTCATCATGTTCCAGGCTTATTGGCCTTAAATGGGCCAAGGCCTCTCCTGGGAACCGCAGGGGTTTTTATTTGTTTCTCCTGCTTGGAATATACTTCCTTCCACTGAGTCCTTCCTGTTCTTCAGGCCTCAGAGAACCCATCTCTCAGTTACCCCCTTGTGACCCAGTTATTTCCTTCATTGAATTTATCACAGTCTATAGTGATCTTTTGTGTTTATTTTTTTGGTCTCTCTTCTCTCTGTTAAAATGTAAGCTCTATGATGCATCCTCTCTGAGTTGCCACTGTGTCCTTAGCTTAGAGCCTAGCACAGTGCCTGCCATGTAATGGGCACACAATAATTATTTGGTGAATGAATTAATGAATCATACAGCAGCTAAACTTAGATTATAACTTAAATCTTTTTTAAAAATTTTTTTAAAAAGATTTTATTTATAGCGGAGCCTGGATGACTCAGTCATTAAGCGTCTGCCTTCCGCTCAGGTCATGATTCCAGGGTCCTGGGATCGAGCCTTGCATCAGGCTCCCTGTTCAGCGGGAAGCCTGCTTCTCCCTCTCCCACTGCCCCTGCTTGTGTTCCCTCTCTCACTGTCTTTCTATGTCAAATAAATAAATAAAAATTTTTAAAAATATTTATTTGTCAGAGAGAGAGAGAGAGAGAGGGAGAGAGAACAAGCAGGGGGAACTGCAGCAGAGGGAGAGGGAGAAGCAGGCTCCCTGCTGAGCAAGGAGCCCCAGGTGGGACTTAATCCAAGGACCCTGGGATCATGACCTGAGCTGAAGGCAGCCGCTTAACCGACTGAGCCACCCAGGCGTCCCTATAACTTAAATCTTCTGATTTGTATTCCAGTACTCATGATGCTACTTTAATTAAAAATACAGAGATAACGGGGGTGTCTGGCTGGCTTAGTTGGTGGAGCATGTGACTCTTGATCTTGGGGTTCTGAGTTCGAGCCCATGTGTGGTGTAGAGTTTACTTAAAATAAAAAAAATTAATAGAAAATACAGAGATAAGAAAAAAATATTGATACCTAAGACCCCCTCACTGTGCCAAAAAGAAGTGTGTATGTATTCAATTCATTTCCACCTTAAACATTACTGAGGGCTTCAACATAAATGATACCTACTTTTAAGATGAACAAAAGGATGCAGGTAAATACACAACTATAAGTCACTTATTTTGAGTGTTATAAGCAAGTGTGATTGAAGCATAAAGAATCAGAGAGTTAACCCCCGAGAGAGAGCAACATATTCTTAGGAGCCACCAATAATGCGTTCATGAGACCCGACCCTCTAAGGTCTTGCTAATAAACTAATGGTTCTGTTCTGCCTCTCTTTCCAGCTGGCATTTTTTAACATACCGTTGATGGCTTACCTGTGTTGGAGCTTGCTGCAGCGGTGCTGTGGTCACAACTTCCGGTCTCATCTCCGTCAAGGAAAATACTTGAAAATTGTACCTGTTCACCTACTTATGTTACTGCTGTACATCTGGCAGATTTATTCCTGTTACTTTCTTCATATGACATACGGCGCTCTAGCTTTTTTCTTCTCCCCTTTGCGGACCTGGTTGACACTGTTGACACCTGTTATCATTCGTGGTGTGTGGACTCTGAACTCTACCGAGCTTGGAACCTTCATAGCACAGTTAAAAAGCCACTTGAGCTCCTGAAGGCCTTGCCTCACCATCTGCCCCTGGAGCCCAGGCCTCTGCCCCAGCTGCAGGTAGAAGGCCAGAAGGCCAGTGCTGATGGGCAAGCTTCAGGGAGCTGCTGCTCTCTGGACACCTAGGAGTTGGGGGGATTACCCACTTCTGATTCCTGCAGAATGGACTGCAGAAAAATCTCTAAATAATGCCACGATTCCTTCCTTCTCCAAGAAGGCAGGGGATTGATTTACTTTTGTGAAGAGAAAGTTCTAATCAGGAGATCCACAGGGCAGGGTCTGGATGTGTGTATGGGAGTATCAGAAGCCCAGTGTATTTTTTATGGTTACCTCATGTAAAGTACCTAGCACAGTATGTGGACCTCAGTAGCCGGCACCACTTCAGAGTCAGGGAAGCAGTACGAACTTGAGGCCTCCCCTGACTACCCTCGAGATACTAGCTCCAAGTCTTCTTTTCTCTCGGGGTTATGGGCTCTCGGCTTCTTTAGGTGTGGGTGCTTTCAGCTAATCAAATAAAAGAGTGATGATTAAGAACTCCGACTGGGCGTTGCGTCTGCGACCAGGGTTTTGGGAGCGGGTGGGGGCGGGGCCGGACAACCGGAGCGGAAGAAAGGCGTGGCCCGGCCTCGGGAGATCGGAAGGGGTGGGGCGGGGGCTCTGGGACGGGGCCGGGCGGGTTGTTGCCGGAAACGAACCTGGGTCTGTGACTCCCGGAAGTTAAGCGCCTACGGCAGTGCGGCCCTGGCAGCTTCCGTGGCCGCTTTTGTCTGGAGGTTCCAGGCGATCTACTGAGATGGCGAGCGCAGCTGCACCTACAGCCGCAGTCCCCACCCTAGCTCCGCCTTTGGAGCAGATCCGGCACTTGGCAGTGGAGCTGCGGTTACTCCTGCCTGGAGTGCGGGGTAAGCTGACGCCCTTGAGACGGGCGACGGCAGGGGCGGGCTTGGTTCGGGAAGAGGCTGGCTGTGGCGCGGGCGGAGGCGGGGGCACGAGCTGGGGGTGGCTCCGCTTACCTGTGCTCTTCCTTTTGCCACCGCCCGACCGACATGCTAAACCCACTAGTCGGAGAAGCCCGAGAGACCACCAAGGAGTTTAATCCTGAGACGTTTTGGAGGAGACTCAGTGAGTGCCTCTCCTGTTGGGGACTTAGCATTTCTCATCCTTCCAGTGTACCCCACCCCTTTCCCTCCCGCTTTTACCGCCGCCGCATCCTCTCAGTGGGGATACTTCACCTTACCCATCCTTTGTACTTCGAAGTTTGGGATATGAAACATTGATTTTGGGAGGTGTTTTTGAGACGTCTCAGCCGGTGAGGCTGGCATCTTCAAAGCCCATGCAGCAGCTGCAGGCTCATCCTTTTGGCACTAACGTATTGGCTCCTCCCTCAGACGCGGCAGCTGTGAACGTGTCAAGGGAAGCCACGACTCTGACTGAAGTCTTCTCTCGAGTGCCACTGCCCTCTCCACAGGTGGGCTGTACTTTCCTGGAAATCTTGTGCTGCATCGTTCATTAGGAATCCAGTCACTTTCTTTCCACCTTTTACACTCAAGCCAGGGCATTTATTTTCCACACCTGTCAGATAGGATTGCCGTTCTCAGAGGATTGCGGTAAGGCCAAATTGCCAAGTGCGGTACCCGGCACGGCGTAGGCAGGTCTTCTAAATAGGTATCCGTTCAATATGCGGTTCATCCTGGTTATTTCCTTTCTGATATATATTTTTTAAACACTCGCTATTTGCTAGGTGTTTTCACATACGTGATTCCCATCTGACAGATGAGTAAGCAGCCTTAGAAACTCAGGTTAAGGTAAATAAGCAGTGGAGCTGGGATTGAATTAGGGTCTGTGATGTCTAAACTACACCTTTTTTGTTATACTACATAATACCCTTTTGTATCGAATTTCTTTATATTTAATCAGTAACATATGTATACAGTATAAAATTCAGAAGATGTTAAAGTTAAATGTGCTAAAAAGTTTATATTTCCCCTCCCCAGTTACTTTTGTGTTATTCCATATATATTCGAGGCATATACACACTTATGTGTATATGCCTGCTTTTTTACACAAATGATAGGATACCATAAACACTTTTCTGGACCTTCCTTTAAAAAAAATCAACAACATGGATTGCACATTGATTCTTAGCACATAAAAAGTTGCTCAGTTCTTTGTAATGCTGCATGGTATCCAGTAGAGTGGATATAACCATAATTTATTTAACCAATACTTCATGTGGACATTTAAGCTCTTTCCAACTTGTAACTATTATAAACAGTGCTGTGGTAAATTGCCTAGGACAATCTTTGTATGTATGTGTATCAGAAAAAAAAAATTTCCAGAAGTGGAATTGCTGGAAAAGGAATTTATGCATTTTTATTTTTCATTTTATTTTTTTAAAAGATTTTATTATTTGAGGGAGAGAGAGTGCGAGCACAAGCAGGGGGAGTGACAGGTAGAGGGAGAAGCAGGCTCCCGCTGAGCAAGAAGCCCAATGCGGGCTTGATCCCAGGACCCTGGGATCACGACCTGAGCTGAAGGCAGATGTTTAACTGACTGAGCTACCCAGGCGCCCCTGCATTTTTATTTTTAAAAAGATTTTATTTATTTATTAGAGAACACGAGTGATGAGGAGGGGCAAAGGGAGAAGCAAACTCCCCGCTGAGCAGGGAGCCCAACTCTGGGCTCAGTCTCAGGACCCCGAGATTATGACCCAAGCCAAAGACAGACGCTTAACTGACTGAGCCACCCAGGCACCCCAAATGTATGCATTTTTAAATAACCTGTTACTGTAAAACTGATGAAAGTAAACATGTTGGCTATGACCAGGTATGCTTTATGCCGTTTTTCTAGAACTAGGTATACTTAATTCAGAAGTAAGGTTATTTTAAAATGGCGTATTCATTGCCTTATTTGGTTTTCATAATCAATAGTTTCATTCTTTTTCAATCTATGTATCCAGATGTTTTGAAATGAGAAAATATTCTTTTGCTGCACCTATAATGATAAACTCTCTCCCTATCAACTCCAGAGATCTATGATGAGAAAATAAGAAATGAATTGTTTGAGAGCATTTTAAAAGCTTTGTGCAAGAAAGAATATTTATTTTAAAGGGAATAATATTACCTTATTTTTCTTATCTGTTGCCTCCTTTCTTTCAGATATACTCAGGACTTGTTGCTAGAATTCAAAGCTAATGGGATACCATGAGGAGGTAGCATAGTATTATTTTTCTGTACATGCTCAGGACAGTGGTTTCATTCATAGGTGAAAAGTTTTAGTTTTATTTGAATTATATGTATTTGAATGACGATTGTTGTCTTAGGATCTTAGCACGTTAGTTTACTGAAGAATGGCTTTTTTTTAATTAATTTTTTTTTTTTATGTGTTTGGATGTTGAAGCAATGTCACATTGCCGTAAAAACTTTTAAACACTTACTCTCAGTCACTGTGCTTATCCACCATCCCAGACTGGTAACTGTTCAGAGACTGGCACCAATCTGTGGACCACATTTTATGTAGCACTGGCTTAGAATTTAGCAGAAAAGTGAGGACAAGGAAGATAGGAGAAAGTCAGTGACTGCTTAGAAGGAAAATAGTCAACATTGAGCAATGTAGAGTCTATGCTAATTACCTTTAGATATATTGTGATTCTGTTAGAGAGAGAGATCAGACACCTGGCTAATGGTCTATGGGTTGGCAAACTTTTCTCTAAAAAGTCAAATAGTAAATATTTTAGGCTTTGCAGGTGAACTAGTTAACTTCGTCCTTGTAGTGTGAACACAGCTGGAGGTAATACGTAAACGAGCATGGCTGTGTGCAAGTAACACTTTATTTATAAAAACTGGCCCTGGGCCATAGTTGCCAGCTCCTGGTCTAAGATATGATGAATACCTCACAGCAGATCATGAGTATCTCAGGATGTAGAGTATTAGGAATAAGTTTTTCCTGCTGTTTCTTAATGTTTTATTGAGTTGTCCCCTCATTCTCTGGTGTCCAGCTAACTCCTCTGTGCTATGTGGCAGGAACAGCACAAGGCCTAAGTCATAATGGGGCTACAGAAAATGTTTGTAGATCATGCTGTACAGACATCTCTCTTTTACAGTAGATGGGCTGATGAATCTAATCCATTTTTTTTTTCATTCTGAAATTGATCCATCACCTCATAGGAAACCCAGAGGTTCTGTGAACAAGTGCGTGCTGCCATCACGGCAGTCATTGCAGTATACTATTCACTTCCCAAGGATCAGGGTAAGCCACTGTGTACACAGAAATGTTTGGTTTATAGGGTAGATCTTTGCTAATATAACAGCTTATGTCTTGAGACTTTTCCCTTGTTCTCAATTTGAGCATGTAATGTAACTTTCTCTCATAAAACCCTCATGGATAATTTTATAACATCCATAAATAAGCCTTTATGCTAAGGTACAGATGCTGCACCACCATCTTCCCTGCTTTGCCTGACTCTAAGGCTTTTAATTCTCACTGGCTCCTCCCTCTCTAACCCATTCTAACCACTACAGATGCTGGATCTATAGGGGCCTCCCCAGTCTCCTCCACCCATATTACATCACACCCTGTTTCTGAGCTCCCTTACAGTTAAGTGAGCTCCAGCTCTGCCCGTAGATTAATGCTTTGATTATAATTGTGACAAAATTATAAATGAATACATGTCTCATGGATCTTCAGGGTTAGTCACAGATGGTTTAAACTTCAAGTGTTTCATCCACCGTTGTCAAGGGACCATTGACCTTAATGAATGGATACATGCTGTCCTGGAAAGATTTTGTTCCTGATCTCTCTTGGAGAACAGTACTCAGGAATGGTGGGAGGAGCAAGAAAATGACATGGGGAAATACATAAGACCTGAGTTTTGTGTTGGCACTGCAATTAAAGCATGTGGGTGTGCATTACCTCAAGTTCTGAAGGGTTTAAATGCTCAAGAAAGCAGATGGTGACTTCTGGAAAGAAGACCAGGCTACTTAGTCTTTGGGTTTCTTTAGGAATCACCCTGAGAAAGCTGGTACGGAATGCTACTCTGGACATCGTAGATGGAATGGCTCAGCTTGTGGATGTGCTTTTCATTACTCCAGCTCAGAGGTAGTAATGCCACAGTTGGGGTTATCAGTTAGTGGGGTTTCTTGCTTCAGGGAGGGAAAAAAAAAA